TTTTAGAATAAGGTTTGAGGCAAATCTGGGGTTTCCAAATGTACAACCACATTTTTAGAGGCATATGGGCATACAAGCCTAATGCTTAAGCCTCTGGTCTGGGGTCCTCATCAGCTGCTTCACAGGGATGGGCTAGTGGCTTATTAAGTGAGCTGGACACATTTTCTCAGTCATGACGATGACATCGCTATATTAAGCCAGAGCATCTGGACTCCAGAATGGTGCCAAATTGATTTGTCAAGCCGGGCTTCTGAGGAGACTGCGCAAAAGGCCATTTGGATGTCTGGATCAAAGATTAGGGTACAGGCGGAGGGTGTGACCTAGCCATAGAGGTCAGGCCTGCCTTCTAGCCTCTTTCTGTCTATCAAACAAACACATGAGTCCTTTGAGGGGAGTGAAGACAGCCACTGTGTGGTTTGGTTCCTGTTTCAGGCAGAGTTATGCTTAGGAGCTATTTGTTCTAGGAGGTCTCGCCAAAACATTTGAAGGCATGACTGGAGATATAACTCAGCTATAACACACCTGCCTGGGCATTCACAGAGCCGTAGGTTCAATCCTAACCACTGCAACATTTATGAAAATGAATTCGGAGGCTGGAGAGATGGTACAGTGGGTTAAGAGCATACATCCTGCTCTCATAGACGACCCAACTTCAGTTCCGAGCACTTATGGGTGGCTCACAGCTACCTGTACCTCCAGCTGCAGGGAATCTGACACCCTCTTTCAGCCTCTATGGGCAAATGCACTCATGTATATATACTCCCCATATATATGTATACAGATACATATATATGTATATATACATTGAATATACATAATATATTGGATGTGTGTGTGTGTGTATGTGTGTGTGTGTGTGTGTGTGTGTGTGTGTGTGTGTGTGTGTGTGTGTGTGTGTGTGTGTGTGTGTGTGTGTGTTCAAAGGCAGACACTATCCAGGGAAGCAGATGAATAAATAGCATGGGAAAAGTCCATTAGAAGAGCTTCTGTGGCCAATCACCTGTAAAGAATTTTCACTAGCTGCAGGTAGAGATGCCAGGAGGCAGCTCCCAATGCAAGAGTTTTAGGACTTTTAAATGCATTTCCCTGAAACGTTTTTGGAGAGTGTGTTGTCTTCGTCTCGGACTCTGAAATAACTCTGCGAATTTAGATTCTTCTACTTGGACCGACGGAATAAGTGCCGCTGACAATTAGTTGAAGAACCAGAGGACGCTGCAATGGGTGAGTCATTTGCTGACCAAAATTACAGTCTAACACTTGGGCCACCTACCAGGAGTAGAAATAGAAAAATTTCTGATGGAGCCAAGTGTCCTGAGGATCCTGGGAACAAGTCAGGATTACATAATCCGGGAGAGAGACTGGTAGGTGCCCCTGGCTGAAATGTGAGTCCCTCCATCATTCCCCTCATCAAAACAGACCTGGGCAAGATTTGCAGTCTCAGAAAATGAGACATAATTGCTTACGTCCTTGGCATTTGGTTCTATTTAAAATGGGTTAAAAGGGAAAACAGGAACTAGAAACAGAAAAACAAGCAAGCAACAGGGGTCTGGGAGGGGGAATGGAGGGGCAGCCAGCACTGCAAAGCGTTTATCTCTGACTATGAGGCTTTTACTAATCCATTTTCTGACTTGTTTCTAGGAAGTAAAGTGAGTGTTGTCTGGACCCCAAAGATCTGAGATGCTAATGGAGAGGTAGAAGCTCGATTTCAGTTCTTCACCACCCCAGAAAGAACCAAATGTAAGACCTTACAGTGGCTGCCCAGGATGTGCGCAGCAAGGAGCCTAATGTTCTGAGAGTCTTACCATTTCCATAAGGCAGGCTACCTGAGCCCTGTTATGGGCCACACACTGGGCCCCAGGCTGGGATACCTGGATAGGTCAGCAAAGGAACTCAGACCTTAGCCAGAAAGAGAGAAGGGGGGGAGGGAGGGAGGAGAGAGGGAAGGAGAGAGAGAGGGGGGAGGGGGAGAGGTAGCCATGGCACCAAGAGCCAGAATAAGTGCAACCCATGAGTATCACCCAGGAAAAAGAATTTTATTTCATTTCCTCATGAAGTTCAAGGTCAGATTGGTTAAAGGCACTGGGGGTGGGAGAGTAGGTGGTTAAGTCTGCGTGTATATTGAAAATAAAGGTCACTGTGAAGAGAACAAACCTGGATGGTGTTAATTTTCTTCCTACGTACAGTGGCCGTTCCTATCTGTGTGTGGTCTACAGCAACGGCCTGGAACACAGGCAGGTTGGGCACGTGGGGCTAAACGTGTCGTCTACCCCGTGGGAGCTCGTTCTCATACCCAAACCAGACCCCAGAGTGCCACAAACTCTCTGCGGCTGCTCCGTTTCCTCAAGCACCACAGTGTCTAGTGGAGACCGTCAACCTGACCACGCCATCTCTCTAGCTCTTCCCGGCTGGTCCTGAACTTGGCCTCACCCTCCTGATTTCCTGTCTTGGTTTGGGTCTCCTAGAAGCCTCTTATTTCCTTTTTCCTGTGTACTGCTTAGCTTTACCCTCTGATTCTCCTGTGAATTTTCAGATCAAAACTCCACTCGAGTTTTTTTTTTCCTTTGTGAGGGAACAGCGTGTTTTTTGTTAGGAGGTGAAGCTTAACTTTGGCCCTGAAGTATGAATGGTGTTAGTGGGTAGAGGGAGAGAGAGGCAGGTAGAAGGGGCCAGGACAACAAATGGCGTCAGGGTTACCCTGGGAGCTGTAAAGAGTGCCTTGGATCTGGGCTTGAGCCCAAGAGAGAAGGTCAGGGGTCCCTTTGACCAGTTACCTGCAGCCTGGGAGAGGAAAGCCAGGGTATGTAGTGGCATCTCAGAAGGAGAGGGACAGAGAGGCAAGAAGCAGGCATCTTGCCATCCCTGTTTAGGGACTGGTCAGAGGAAGAGAGGTCAATATAAAAGGCTGGGAAAGGGTAGACAGAGAGGGAAGGGAAGATACCCATTAGCTAGGCAAGAGAAGCGAGAGATGCTTCCTGAAGGATGAGATATCCTCTTAGGCAGACAGATCCTTAGAGGAAACTAGGATGGATGAGCATCAGAAATACATCCCTTCGAGGGGTCATCTGGGCTGCCCTTCCTGATTGCATGACTGTGCCTTCCTGCCCAGAAGACAGGTGTGTCCAGGCCTGCAAGAGTGTAGTGCTTGTCTCCTGGGGCTGAGGTCACAGTTCTACCTGGAGCAGGGAGAGAGCAAGGCGTACTGGGCACCAGCTACACTGGGTTTTGTGTCTGCATATTTATTTGCCTTAAGGAACAGCCATTACTCGCTTGAAAGGCAGAGGGTTTGAAGCATAGTGCCTTGAAAGCAGCTTTATTGACTTCAAAGGAAAAAATAAATAATTGAATTATATAGGAGAGAATAGCTATCTAAGCTGAAATTAAAGGAGCAAGAAAGCAGTTTGTTTAATGAATAATAATTTAATGTTTTGTACTTCAAGTTGGAAATTTAAAACACAAGAGAGCATTTTGGAGGCTCATTGTAGAATTATTTGCAATATAAAAAATGGATGACAATATCCATGTTCAGCAGATGGGGAAATGGAGAATAAGTTATATATTCATAGAAAGGGAAATCACTTGAAATAGTGTGTAATAACGTGAGAATATTAATCCTGTGATACCACGGAAAGTAGGAAAGGGGAGATTCTCTCTGATTCTTGGAGTACAATAGTCGATCTCCATTGTCAGCTTGAGGGGGTGAGGATTGTGTAGGAGACACAGTTGATGAGGGTGTTTCAAGAGGGTTTGTTAAAGATGAGAACCCCACCCTGAGTGTGGGTAGCTCCACCCCAAGAGCTGGAGTTCAAGACTGAGTAAAGAAGATGTGAGCTGAGCACCAGTGTTCATCTCTCTATGCTTCCCGACTGTGGACACAATGGGACCAGCTGCCTCAAGTTCTTTTTTCTTTCTTTTTTTTTTCTTTTTTTCTTTTTTTTTGGTTTTTTGAGACAGGGTTTCTCTGTAGCTTTGAAGCCTGTCCTGGAACTCGCTCTGTAGGCCAGGTTGGCCTTGAACTCACAGAGATCAACCTGGCTCTGCCTCCCCAGTGCTGGGATTAAAGGCATGCACCACCACCGCCCAGCCTGCCTCAAGTTCTCGCCTCCAGGCTGTCTCTCCCATGATGGACTGTGCTCTGAAACTGTCAGCCAAAACAAACCCTTTCTTAAGTTTCAAGGGTTTTTGTCACAGCTAAAAGTAATTAATTCATGGGGTTGAAGAAGACTTTACTTGTGTTTATATATAATACATGTATTATGCATAACACTGGGACAAGGGCATCATGAACAGATATTTATGGGAAAATTAAGAGGGAGGACCACAGGAGTCTGGTGGTAGAGAGGGAGGATCACAGGAGTCTAGTGGTAGAGAGGGAGGACCACAGGAGTCT